AGAACGTTTGCCATTCCTCAAGAGTATGGCCCTGCAGCTTGTCCGCTCTGGTATTACAAGACCAAAATGCAACGCTGCCCCTCTTATCCTCAAGTCAACAGACTAACTACCCGTGTCTTGGTTGCATGTTTCGGTTATGTAGAGATGCGTTTAATTCCTTGCTGAAGGAAATTCGCGGTTTAAACAAGTATTGTCCTTTGAGCGGATTCAAACTTTATTGTGATTGAAGCCGCGTAGCAATAGGTATGCAGTATTGATAGTGTCATTTCTGTATGTATGCAGTATCGTTCATGAAGATCTTGGACAACGGATGAAAAGGTGGAACCTTGCGTTTTATCAGGTTTATTTTCAGGCAACAGGCTTTTAAGCTAGTTGCAAATGGTGGCAAAAGCTATGGAAGTAGCTTTTTCAGCCACCTGAAAATGGTAGGACTGGTAAGGGAGTATGCAGATTGGTGTAGAACTCCTCCAACACTAGATTTCACATCGTATTAGTCCTTCCCCTCTTGCTGTTATTTGTCTGGGGAAAGCATTTTAGCGGATAACTGCTCCAAGGTATTTAAGCAGTGAATTCTGCTATTCTGGAAGTAATGTTCCAATTAGTGCATTCCGACTTAGAGTCTATATTTTTTTCTGTTTCTATTTACCGGCTCAGTGTCATAGTTGGTTAAGTACAATGATGTATTTCTCGATGTCGGTCGACAGAGGACTGTCAGAAATCCGTAATTTGTTTGGCCCAGTTTTTTGTACACAGCAGATCGTTGGGTCTCTACTACCACCAGTAGTGCAGTGATGCAGACAGTACAGTCAATATAAATAGGTGAACATGTTGAAAACAAATGATGGGTGCATTTTTAAGATGCGGGGCATACTTTACGCTGTTTCAGTTAGCTTTTAGATGGGTTTCGGTTCATGCGGTCGTAAAGCGTGAACGTGTTGCATCGTAGTAGTAAGGTTTGAAAATTTTGACATGACTAAAATGATAGACCAGGTAATCGACTTACTTGCTACTCGTTTATTGCATTCAAACCACAACGCTGGAATTCGTTTATTCCTACCATTTTAAGTTAATCTTTTAGTTTGAGATAAAATACATAGTGATGCGGTCAATTTATCAGTCGTGACTACAGATCATTTTAAGATCTCTACTGTATCGAAGAATTACATATGTGTTTGTCGTACAGGTGTCGGCTACCATACCTTGGCAAAATTACAAGAACTAGGCGCTTCTACTTGTGGTGATCTGACAAAAGTTGATTTACCGAAATTGCAGAAAACTTTTGGCACTAAACGGGGCAAACTGCTGTACGAATTTGTCCGTGGTATTGACTGGCGTCCCGTCATCGCGGACCCTGGTGCCAAGTCTGTTTCATGCGATGTCAATTACGGAATTCGTTTTTCGACGGTTCGGTTTAAATTACTTCTTGCTTCAAAATGTTACTCTCAAAACCAGTGTTTTTTTCAGACGGACGAAGCGGAAAGTTTCTTGCAGAGACTCTGTGAAGAGCTTCACGGTCGAATGCAGGCGATCGGCAAATGTGGACACTCTGTCACCCTTAAACTGATGGTCGATTTTTTTGTTTTTGCTTGTCGTTCGAAACCGATATTTGTCCGCTATAGGTTCGAAGCTTGACCGCCCCCGTCAACACGAAAAAGTTCTTGGGACACGGCGAATGCGATACTGTTTCCCGGTCCTGTACAACGATGAAGCCAATGTCCGAAGCTGCTGCTATTTACGAACAGTGTCTCTCGCTTCTGCACCTGTTGAAGCCGAACCCGTGCGACATTCGTGGAGTGAGTCTGTATACCATGCATCGAGCTTCTAGAATTTTCCAATAACACTTAAAAAATATAAACTACATATTAAATTAATTCAAGTTGCATGTTCATGTGATTGGTCACTGTAATCGTTCCACTTCGTTTTATTGTAAATTTAGCTTCATCAACTGATAAAGATTATCTCTGTTAAGATAAAAAAGAATATAGATGAAGATCTTTGGCTTTTTAACTCGTCAAGATCTAATCCTTTCCCGT